TATTTCCGTCAAGGTAGGCCTCAGCTTTCCAGGTGGGATCCTGGCTTCTTGTGGCAGCCCCCGCCAATGACTGAGCAAGAATGTTCAATAGAGCACAAAGTGGTCACTCCAGCCAAGCCAACACGCCACGTGCATGCAAGCGGCCAACCTGCCTCGTCTCCATCCGCTCCACCCACGGCCGCACTGGCTTCCTTGCTTGCCTCCTAATGTCCCATCCCGGTAGGATGGGGCTACTCCAATAAGGACGATGCTAGCAGCTCACCGGCCCCCATTGTCAGCTGACAGGCCCCACTATACATCCTGCACCCCCAGTTTCCTTCACAGGCGTTAATCTGCAGTAAACCTCATGCACTTACCTCCACTTCAGTATCAGCTCCATGAGGTCCTTAGAAGTCAGCTACTGTTCTGGACAATTCTGTCATTTTCTCTTGGAATTTACCTCACTTCAACCCCAGAGAACAAGAGGACAGTAAGATAACACTATGAATAATAAATGCCCACTAATATAATTTAGATGAAATAGTCACAAACTATTCAAAGTTGCTCAAGAACAGCTAGTCTGAAAGCATAGCCCAGAGCCTTCTAAAAAAAGAAAACTTTAGGCCCAGATGACTTTACTAGCAACTCCACAAACATTTAAGGAAGACACAATTCCTATACTTGATAATCTCTTCTAGAAAATAGGACAGGAACATTTCCTAATTCATCTTATAAAGCAAAACTCGCCGTAATGCCAAAACCAGACTAAGTTATAAAAAGAAAACTATAGATCAATATCCCCGACATAAAAAGTCTCAATACTAGCAAATCAAACCTAACAATATTTAAAAAGGATAATCAAGACCGAGTGGAATTCATACCAGGGATGCAAGGTTGATTGAAGATTAATGAATTATTCAGTGTAATTCACCGTATCAAAATAACAAACTCACTCACTGGGTATAGTGAATGCATTTGACAAAAACCTAACATTCTTTCATGATAAAAAATAATTCAGCGAAGTAGAAATAGGAGGGAACTTCTTTAATTTAAACATCATTAAATAATCTACAGCTAATATACTTGATAGTAGAAATAAATGCTTTCTCCCTAAGGGGGTAAGATATGCCACTCTCACAACTCCTATTCAATAAGCACTGCTAGTCTTAGTGAAAAGGACAAGAAAAAGAAACTATGCATATTGGAAAGTGTTTGTCTTTAATCACAGACAATAGGAAAATCTATTTAGAAAGTCTCAAAGACGCTACAAAAAATTCACTAATAAGTGAGTTTAGCAAACCCAAGTAGAAAATGAACAATTTCAATTTGAGATTTAAATTTTCCAATAGCACACAAAAGTACTTAAATAGAAATCTAACAAAATGTATAAAGACTATGTATGCTGAACCCTACAAAACAGTGATAAAAAAAATCAAAGAAATTATTAAAAAATGGAGATTTTTTAGGATGTCAATTCGCAGTTTATCTATGGAGTATTTTGATTAAAACCATTAAAGTTTGTATATAAAAGTCAACAAGCTGATTATAAATTTTATATGGAAAGGCATATAAATTGGAGGACTCACTCTATCAATTTTGGTGTGGTATTGAAAACAGTCAGATTGATCAATGAATAGTGCAGAAAGCCCAGAAACCTATGCAAATGACATGTCATTTTTAAAAAAGCTTTGTTATTTACATCTGATAAAATTCACTGGTTTTTAAATGTACAATGTGGTGAGTTTTTGTAAAATTAACTGTTACCACAATCCAATTTAGAATATTTCTATCACTCAAAAGAGAGAATTCATGCCCATTTGCAAACACTCCCTATTTCCACCCCCAGGCACCCACCATTGTACTTTGTCTCTATAGAGTCATCAACTGATGTCTGATAATGGTGTAATGGTACATCAATGAAGAATGTTTTTTTTTTTTTTTCACGAAATGGTTCTGTATCAACTGGATTTCACATGCAAAAATAAATCTTGACATGTATCTTATACCAAACATGAAACTATAACACTTTCGGGAGAAAACAGAAAAAAATCTTCATGACCTTGGTTTTAGAGATGAGATTTTAGAAAACACACAATCCATTAAAGAAAAGAAAAAAGACTAATAAAATAGCTTCTATGATAAACTTCTTAAATACTAAGAATGAAAAGATAAACGAGAGGGAGAAAAAATTTGCAAAACCTACCTGACAGAGATCTTGCATTCAGAATACCAAACTCTTAAAACTCAACAATAAAACTCAATACTTTAAATATGGACAACAGATTTGAACAGAAATTTCACCAAAGAAGATACATGGGTGGAAAATAGAAGCCTATGAAAAGGTGCTGAACATCACTTTTTATTCGGGAAATGAGTATTTCCACCACAGTGAGATATGCCTGCAGCAGGGGATGCTTATCCATTGTTAGGGCGAATATGCAAAATGGCACAGTGACTATGGAACAGTTTGGTGATTCCTTATAAATATACACTTAACAGGGGCCTTCCTGGTGGCGTAGGGCTTGTCTGGGCGCTATCATGCTATCACCACTGCAGGGCCTGAATCTATCCCCGGCTAGGGAGCTGACCCACATATGGTGCAGCAGACCTCTCCTGGCTCACCTGCTGCCTCCTTCAGCAGTGTATTTCAGTAGATTCACCTGTTCTGCTCCCCACTCTGTCTCTGGTGAATCCTCTCATCCCCGACCTCTGGCCTACACCACAGTTCTTCTATGCGTAAATAATCTTTTAAAAATATATATACATTTAACAAATGACTCGGCAACTTCCACTCATATTTTACCCAAGCAAAATGAATTCCTCATATTCATAAATGATAAACCTTGATACATCCATACAACAAAATACTACTTAGCAATAGAAATGAGCTATTGATTCATGCAACATGACTGAATTTAAAATGCATTTGGGGGCCTCCCCGGTGGCGCAGCGGTTGAGCGCTGGGTTGCAAAGCTGCCCGCAGCCTCTGCGGCGCCAGTTCAATCCCTGGCTGCTCCCCGGCCATCGGAGGAGGGTCCCACATGGCGCGCAGACCTCTCCTGCCGCCCGCTGCTCCCCTCAGCAGTGTACTTTGGTCCTTCTGCCTGCTCTGCTCTCCGCTCTGGCTCTGGTGAATTCTCTCACCCTCCCTAGCTTCTGACTGTACCCAGTGCATGTATAAATACAAACAAACAAACAAACATACAAACAAACAAATAAATAAGACATGCCTCTATTAAAAAAAAAATGCATTTGGGTATGAAAAAGATCTTGGATTCAAAAGGCTACAGATCATACAATTCTACCACTTTAATGACATTCTGGAAAAACTCAAATTATAGGGATGGAAACAAGTAAGTTGTTGCCAGGGTGCGGTGGGAGTACCCCAAGTACAAGCTGAATCTGGACGGACTGCTGTGCATGGTACCGAGATGGTGACCACGACTACATTGTCAAAGCTCACAGAGTGAATTTTACTGTATGAAGAAATCAATTGAGGTGTTGAGACCCCAGACAGAATACAGAACATGACAAATCAATCTGTTTTACAAATGTATGACATAACCTCAATGAAAGGAGTGGGGAAAAGAAGCTGGATGAGGCTACTTAGGGAAATGGTGTTTTGAGAAGATACTATAAGGTTAAAGACAAAAACAAAACAAAACTAAGAAGAACAAAACCTATGCTAGCTGGTCATTTTGTTTTTCACAGGAGTACAACTTAACTCTTCCAAAACCACTTCTTAAGCATACAGAGTTAAATAAATAAAGAGAAGATAATAGGAACCAGGCTTCTCATTCTAAGATCAAGAAGTTATAAATAAGTCAAAACTAGAATATGTTTCAGAGGTTTCTACTTGGTTTCTATGTACTGTTCTCCAAAAAGAAACTTGGGGCTCCATGATGAAATAGCTATTTCTGGGGCTAGTGTCCAGATGAAGTTTGTAAGCAGTCTTTAAAAAACAAACAAACAAAAAAAGGACTCAGACAAGTCAAAAGAGCTTCCAACAGCCAAACTTTAAACAATCTGCACAAAATAAAATTATTGAATTTTAACCCAAAGTATAAAATAGCCATGATCCCAAACAAATATGAATGATCAGACAGACAGAAGGATATATTTTTTTAACGATTTATTTACACAAGAACTGGGATATAGGCCAGAGGCGTAGGAGGGTGAGAGAATTCACCAGAGACAGAGCGGGGAGCAGAACAGGCAGAACGACCTAAAACACGGCTGAGGGGAGCCGCGGGCGAGACAGGAGAGGTCTGCCACACCATGTGGGCTTCTCCCTGGCCAGCCAGGAATTAAACCCATGCTGCGGAGGCTGTGGACAGCGTTAGAGCACTGCACTCAACCCGCTGTGCCACTGGGGAGACCCAGAAGGATAGTCTTTTCCAAAAAAAAAATGTGGGTTTGACTTAATGATTCACTTCCAGAGTGAAAGTAGAAAAAATAGTAACTTCACAGTGGAAAAACCTAGCAGACACCACCTTCACCATAGAAGGAACATCACCAGTGATGCCTCGTGGTATCAGGCATTCCACCATGAGATAGTGAAGGGCACACACACCTCTGTGCTATTCCTCCTGATAAATCCTAGCCTCAATTCTCATCTTGAGGAAACAGACAAATCCATCCCACAAAACTATAATCGGCACTCTTCATAGTGTCAAAGTCGTGAAAGATAAGAAGCCGTCACAAGTGGGAGGAGAATAAGGAAGCATCAATGATTAAATAAATACAACGTGGGAACCTGGACTAGGTTCTGGACCAGAAAAAGAACATTAGTTGAAAAAGAATGAAAACCAAAAAAGTCTGAGTTTAGTAACCAGCAGTGCACCAACATTAACAAGTGACTTCTGACAGATGTACCGTGGCTTACATAAGGTGTTAACATGAGAAGCTAGGGGGAGGGTACAGGAAATATCTCTGGACCATCTTCACAACTTTTCTGTAAATCTGAAATTATGATGAAACAAAAAAGCTATGGAAAAAAAAGTATTGGTAAGCCACAGCACTGAAACCATGGCTGCATTTAAATTAAGAAAGGGACTTACACATTATACACATTTTAGCAGTAACTTGATCAATACCAGTTTATTTGTAAACATATTATATGTGTCAATAATCAAATTGACAACAGTTATACATTTCATTGTATAATATGAACATTATACCAGAAACCACTGCACTGGTTACAGTTTTGGTACTTTAAAATCTTTAAATACAAACTGTCTTTGAAACACTGAACATAAAAGAGAACCATGAATGGCAGAGAAAACTGAAAACATCGACTTGAAAAAGCCCTGTTACCCCAAAAAAAGAAATACAAAACATCTGACTACATATTTTAAAAGAACAAAATCAAGGAAATCAGATGATCGTATTTTTAATGACACGAAGTTGCATTTCTTTAGACCCACTTGAGAAGTTAAGTCGTATTGTATTAAATTCTATGTGCTTTTTGTATTTTTTCTCTTGGCTTCCAAAGAATGTTTGCCATGGTTTAAACTACATTAAGGGGAGAAGGGGGAATGAGAAGTGGCCCAAAGCCAAATGAAAATACCTTAAAATATCCAAAAATAAACTGGATAAAATCTTTCATAAATCTTCTTTGGCAGATAATAAAGTCTACATTTTAAATTTACCTTTTGATGAACTGGGTCAACACCTGTAAGATTTAAGAGCAAGCTCTTTACATGGATTAGTGTATGAAGGAAACAAAAGCCAAATTCATAAAGCACAAGCACAGCAGGAGCTTGCAGTTCACTAACAGCTCTAAGAAAGCAGATTCCCCCTCAAAAGTATGAGAGCAGCTAGGAATCAGAATCTTTCCTCATTCACAGGAGAAATCAGAGTTGACTGTATGTTTTTTCAGCCCTTTTTTTTTAATTCATGATCATTTTTAGCTTCTATTTCTTTCTCCATTATCTCTCAAAGGAATAGCAGCAAATCACTCTCATATTTTAAGTTTCAAATTCACCAACCACTGGGTTCACTGCCAACAACTACAAATATTTGATTCTTTATTAGTGTACATGTCATTACAGTAGGCTTCGACTGTTAATACAGGAATAAATAACTACAGTCAATTCAAAGAAAGCAAAAGAAGGTTGAGATTAAAGAGCCCTGATCAAATGAAAGAGTTACAACTTTTGGTTGAAAAACTGTAGAAGTTACATACATACCTAACAGCACTAGGAATGTACAATATCAATCATTGGAAAAATAAAAGAGTGATTCACAGTTGTAAGAAATTATTTTAATATTAGTATGTATTTTTCCTTTTATAGACACACATTTATAACATACACTTGGTTTCTACCTCATCTAAGACAGAGTAGGAAACTAAACGTTACTGCATTTATCCGACATACAGCACTGACTGTGCCACAGATAACCTGTTCCAAAATATTCGATTCTTTAAGTAGGCCATGGTATTGAATGCATGGTTAACAGTTTTCAGAAAGGCATATATTTCCAGGTGTTAAATACACAAATATCAGTTCTACAAGTAACAAAATTACCAGCAAATGCTTAGGTTAAACACTCCCAAATTTTCTAATGCTTTACAAAGTATTTTAGATATAAGTTGTATAACCAGTTAGTTTGGTTACAGTTTTAAACTAGCAAACCATTAGCCTATGAGAAGAACTAAACTAAACTATAACACTGCACAAACTGCCCAAGGAAGATAACCTGAAAAATCTAAAAAGTGATTCCAATTAATCTAATTATCATTTGAGATACTAAAAGAATCAATGACTCATGAAATATTTTGAAATTATTCATTTTCTTTATCATTTTCTCTGAAACTCTTAATAAACTTAAGATTGAGACTAAGAATATGTCTTCTAAGTAGGCTTATCACTAAAATGTTTTGATCAGAAGACACAGTCTTAATGCCGCTAACATCTAATTCTAACCTAAAATCACAATCCTTGGTTTGAAGACATCAAACTCAATTTCTAACAATTCATCAGTAAAGCTATGAAACAAAAAACAAATCAGGATGAAACGTGCAGCAGCCACAGCTATGAGAATGGAAAATAAATTCTATTTTTCCATAAAGACTCTGAAAATATAAAGCCCAAAGTGAGTGACAACAGAAGTCCACATATAAAGTGTTTAAAAATATAATGTTTTCCAAAGATTCTCATGAGATGTTGATGTATATAGTCATATTCCAAGTTAAGACCTTATAAATCAAGGTTAAGATATACATAACTATGCTGATTTACATACCTTCCACAATGTTCAACTGATATACATAATTTACAGACATCCACAGGAATTCTTAATGCCCTATCATATCCTCTCACAACACTGGATGTTTATTGTTCTATAGTTGTGCTACTTTTAGTACCAGGAAGCCACTCAGAGGAAGAGTTCCACCTCTTCCCATGATCCCCTAAGGAATAGGTAACAAAATATAAAATTAAACAAGATTCATGTTTGATAAACTAACATATAAAATTACCACTGCAATATTCATAGTGACTGCTTATAAACATAACAGTCATCATAAAGCCTATAAAGTATATCCTCAGTTTTATAAAAGAAATGCAGATTGTCTCAAGGTAAAAAAATACAGTGCAGGCTGCTAAAAAGCTCTTTGTTGCATTAGGAAGTGCAATGAGGAAAACTTCAGAAAGCATAAGCATGTTCCCCAACCCTTCATCATCAGTGAAGCAGGAATTGCACTGCAGCAGCAGGTGCTTTTTAGTGGCTGGCACTATAAAGCGAAGGTTAAAATGAAAAAGGCCGGAAGTGTGAGCAACACATGGCGTAACCAAATTATTGCAAATGGAGATTGGCAATAAGAAGTGAGGAAGGTGAGCGTCCACTCCATTCTGATAAAATGCCATCTTTAAATATTAAGTTCTTTGCAGGAAGGGGGACCCCCATATCAGCAGAGGACTGCGATAGCAAACTCGAAAAGCTGGCCTCTGTGTGAATATCCAGTGTCGAAGCACCTTCCTGAAAGATCAAGAAACGAGAGTAATAATTTACTTTCAACATATTCCCAAACCATTTGCTACAGCTAATGAGAAATATAGACCTTGATTACCCGAGAAATGTTTATGGAATGCAGAAATGTTTGTGGAATGTTTACTACATGTGACACGAAGATCTACTCAACAAACCCAAACTGACAATGACAGGTAATATAACATCTGCAGAAATGACTAATACAAGTAAATCTCTGACAAGTGCTTAGAAATAAATAGAAATAGGCTATGAGACAATGGGATAAGAAGATGTTAACTCTACAAAAGCGAAAGGTAAATCGGAGATATTCTGCAGGGGAGTAGGAGGGAGAGGGAGCAGAACAGGGGAGGAAGAACACAAGAGACTACGGCGATGGTGCACAGGTGGCGTGGTGGTGGGAGTTCTATAGGGACTACACCTGAGAGGAACCACAGTGTGAAAAAAAATACATCTGTAAATGAACTTAAAAAAAAAAATGAAAAGAAAAAAAAAATGTTAGCTCCTATATAATCTCCAAAAATCCTGACATAACACTAACATGAAAAACATACCATCCACCCCCGGGACCTGATTCCTGTACACAGCACAGACTTCTCCCCCAAACTCTAGCTCAAACATCCACCCAACTGACTGACCGCTCTCGATGTGTCGCCACACACGTCAAGGCACCCCAGCCTTCCCATTCCACCCTGCCTCAACACTGCCTCCTCGCATTTCATTCACCTCCAACATGTATCCCAAACTAGTTTACTTTATTCATTCACCACAGCTACCACTGTGGCCTAGGCAGTCGTCTCAAAGTGGGGAACTCACTGCAAAGTAGGGTATGATGTGAAAATTTTAGAAATCTCCTACTTACCACACTCTTACAAAAATTCTATTTCTGTGTATGTTTTACTATATATATAAATTATTGGTATAATAACATATATAAGTAATAAACTGTTTTTACGGATACATGCCAAACAAAATATATATATTTTTTGATAAAAAACAAAAAGGGTGCTCAGCTATCAACATCTCTCTCACTTGGGCTATTACAAGTCTCAGAAACGATCTTATATCTATAGTCTATAGACAGTAACTAATCTTATAGGAACAGTCCATCAGAAACATCACTGTCCTATTTTCAAATCTTCAATAGGTTCTCTTTGTACGCAGCATTAAATACAAATCCCCAATTACTGATTTCAACATGTTGGTCAGATACTCTGAATGAAAATTCTACTCTAAAAGTTCATATACAAAAATCTTAAGTATTGTTTCCTTGTGGGGACGACAAGAGGTCTAGTGCACTGGTTTTTACAACAAACAACCTGATTTCAACAATGGAGAATCACTGCAATTTGTGCAAGGAGACTGCACCCAAGAACCAGCACTGCAGGGGGTGTGGCCCGTGGCATAAGTCCAACACACGTCTGTGAATGAAGCACTGGCACAGAACAGAGTCAAGCTGTACAACCCGGAGACCAACCCAAGGAAATCATGTATAAATCAGTCAACTTCCTCATTCATAAACTAATGTTTATTTCATGTCTTGCTGTTGTGGAGACTCAAAATCAAACATGAAATGCTTTGCATGTATAAAGTTCTATATAATTACCATTTACATTTCTTAGTTTTTGTTACCTGGAATGAGTGAACGAAGTTAAGGACTTGTAGAGAGAGTTTTCTACTGGAATGTAGGAGATCTTGAAGGCTGGGGAAAAAGGGTAGGGGTGGGGGAAGTTAAAAACAAACAGAATGGCATGTACTCATATCTAACAAGAGTTTAATTTTAGAAATTTAAACACATTGCTTGTACATACATCCTGATTAAGAACATAAAAATTTAAAAAAAAAATCAATGTTTCTTGTTAATGAAATTTCTGCCCTTTTTACTAGGGAATAAAAATAATACATAAAAAACACTATTTTAAACTAAAACATTATGTCCAACCAAAATTAAAAAGTTACTGTTAAAAAAACTTAAACTATTAATAAACATAAATGCTAGCTGAAAGAAAATTTCTTAGTAAGAACTTTGAGGAATGACAATAATTTAAACTTGAAATATCCAACTAAATTTTAAAAGACAGCCTGATGAAACACCTGACAGATTTAACATACATCAATCCCCCAAAATGAAGTATTTTTCAAATATGTGAACTGGTAACAATTATAGTAGCTACGTTCAAAGCTGCACAGTATCCACTTTTTAATCATGACATTATTTTATTTTCATTACTTGTCAATTGAATACCTTTGATTTTCTCATATAAGCTACATTAAGCCAATTAAATGAATTATTTGTCATTCAACTTTGCTTTCGTAAAGAAGTCAAGGAGATCTGGATATCACCTCTCCATGCCACAGACCATGACAACCAGGGTCTATGACATTTTCTCCTGCTCACCCAGAGTCTCAGATCTATTACAGCACCACTCAGAGCAGATGCTCCCAAAGAACCAGAGATGACTTAGGAGGATAAAGGCTGCACCACATCTCTGATAATACATACTCATTTTAGAAAATGAAGAAAAATTTAGAAACTCAGCCATAATCCCATCAGAAGAGACAATCACTGTTAACATAACTCAAGTGTGTGTATTTAAAGTGTACCATAAAAATTTTCTATAGACATTTACATAGTTTTAAAAATTAGCTTATACTTGTATGTAAGCATGCCCATTTCACCACATGCTGACCAAATTAATTATAATTAAGCAAAACAGTTGCCCAAAATGTTTTCATGAGCCCAAATTCTGGGCTACTAACGTTTAATTTTGAAAAATATAGTAATCAATCCACAAATATACACAAGAAAATTATTAAGATCATATGTGGAATGAAAAGACACAGCAACTATTACTGAGAGTTATAAAGTCTAGCAGATGAAAAGACAATGATATAAACCCTCACCTCTCTTTCCTGCAAAGGCCATGTGTAGCAATTTTTCTACAAACTTTCCGGTTTAATTCAGAACTAAACAATGGAATTCCAAAGCAGAGCTCAAGAGGAACCCAATCTGCTTCTGCTGTGGCCACTACAAGAGGACATATAAACTTATTAATCACACATAAATATGACACCTCTATGAATGACCAGGGTTTCTTCACTGAGGTCTGCAGATCCTCACTAACCCTCCCACCCCCAGGACATTCACCAATAGGCTGAAGAGAGGAGGGGACTCAGGGGGTCAGTGAATCTCTGAACTGGCTTTTTTTTTTTTATTATGTACATGTTTCTGGGGAGAAGGATGTAGCTATCATCAGATGCTCAAAAGGTCTTTTACCCAAAAAAGGGTATAAGACATCTACAAGATGAGGGAATGAATCAAAGTATTTAATACAGGAAAAACGAAACTGAAGTCATTCTCAGGTCATATTTCTGTAATACTTTAATGATTATTCTAAATAAATGTTTCTTAGAAGACAGTTATTAAAAGGTCCACTACAGATAAAAGCAGGCAAATGAAGTCCAAATAATTTAACAAAAGGGGTAAACCTTAGGAATTAGTTCAAGATTACAAATAATTTTTTTTTAAAGATTTGTTTTATACAAGCACTGGGTACAGTCCAGAAGTGCGGGAGGGTGAGAGAATTCACCAGAGCCAGAGCAGGGAGCAGAACTGGCAGACAGACTGAAGACACTGCTGACTGGAGCGGCAGGCAAGGCAGGAGAGGTCTGCTGCGCCATGTGGGGTTCTCCCTGGCCAGCGGGGAATCAAAAAGGTGCTGCAGAGGCTGCAGACAGCTTCGCAGCATGGCGCTCAACCGCTATGCCACCGGGGAGGCCCAAGATTACAAATAACTTTTAAAGTCTTACCAGAGTTTTGCTTTGTTGATGAATCTAGAGCTGCTTCCTCAATGACCATTTCAAATGATTCTGTACTCCCATTCACATCTGAGCCGGAAGCCAAATCAGGGTCTCCTTACAATTAAAGGATACATGCAACATTAGGATCCTAGTGGCTGGTGTAATCTGTCAATAAATCTGTCCTTAAAGAAAAGAAGACATCAGGCAACTCCAGGAATGATAAAGGAAAACAACAGTCCTTAGCCTAAAGCAGTAGCTGCTAACTGGAGGGCAGCTGTGTCCCATAGAAGACATTTGGCAACATCTAAAGACATGTTTGGTTGTCTTGAGAGGGGGAGAGGATGTGGTGACTGCTATCTCGTGATACTAAATATCCTACAGTTCACAAGACAGTCTCCACAATAAAGAATTACCTAGCTCAAAGTGCAAAGAGTGCAGAGATTGTGAAACCTTGGGCTAAAGAAATAAGAAATGAAAGGGCAAAGAACACGAGTTCGAAACATTCGCTGAGACCACTACTAAAGTCATTTCTTTTCCTGTGGAAATATACACTCTATTGTCATTTCTCTTCAAAATTCTTTGACTCCGTATCTTTTACCACATAAGATCCTCAAAGATCATCTAGACCTTAACCTACTTCTCTATTCTTATCTCCTCCTGACAAACAAAAATCTTTTCTTTTGGCCCAGAGGAGTTACTTTATTGCCCAATTCTCTGTACCTGAAAGGCTCTGATCCTCGAAAAAAAGCAAAAACAAAAAAACCCCCAATAATCATCTTTTGCCCAGCTAACTTCTCATTTTTCCAAACCCAGTTCAAATTTTAACTTTTCTAGGAGGCTTTCTCTGACAGTTTAACTGGGCCAAGATGTGCCTCCTCTGTCCTGCTTTAGCATTTTTTAAGCCTCCTGGTATGGGTCTTAAACTTGCTATCTCCCTTGCTAGGATTTTATTCTTTGAAATAAAATCAGGTCTTACTAATATAAATACCTCTAGCACCTAAGCATGTATTCCATAAATGTTTGTACTGTGACTAAAATAAAACATGACAGCTGTAGTAGATATGCTTTGAAATGACCACCTAACCCCTGGCCCTCTTGTCTGGAAAATGCCCCTGCAGTATTTGGCAGTCAACTGTTAAGCATGACCAAATTCCTCTGGCCAAAGGCAAATGGACCAGGAGAGGATACCCAATGCACAGGGAGCCAGCGCAGCCCACCAGGTGTGAGCAATCAATCACATCATCTCAGCATTTCAAACTAAAAGCTTCGGAATTAGTCTATCAGTGACACATCTTGAGTTGAAAGGTTTCCTACAGTCATGGGCTAGGCTGGTATCATGGCAACCAAAACCACAAACAAACTAAAGTATGCCGGAGCAGAAGCGATTAGTAAGCATGAGGTGACTGAAAATAAATTTTTTAATTGAAAAGAAAAATTATTTAAGGAAAACTGACTTTTGTCAATATGCAGACAGGTTGAAGAAAGAAAAGAGGCGGCGGCTTCAAATAGAAGACTCAGACTAGGTGGCAGTTATGGAAAATTTAAAGAGGAGAGACGAATAAACAGATGAGATATTCTAAAGACTACTTTATGTGAGCTGGAAACTGGATAGAATAAGAAAAGCGAAGGATGAGACAAAAACACAATTCTGGGTGTGGCTAATTGAGCAAGTAGTGCCTTTGACAGAAAGAAATGGTAAAAGGAAAATACTTATTAATTCTATTTGGAAACAATTTTGCAGAGACTTAAGTTTTGAAACCATCACCCCATAAAATAACTTAACTTAAAGCCTATAAACTTAACTCAAAGCCTATAAGCACAAAAATGTCAGCAAAGAGCTGAAATCCTTGTAATAACTTCTCTGTGTTCCAACCCTGCGTCACCACCTCCTTAGTTACATCCTTAGTATTTTCTCAATGAACCACCGGTATTTGTGCAAACGATGTCAAAGAATTTTCTCATTCTTAAAACATTAAGTACTAAATGAGTCAACATCCCCCACAAAGTTCTCCCTGCTTTTTAAATATTAAGATTGTGTGAAGCTCAATACCAATTATCTTAATTCAAAGAATGCAATTCTTGGCCAACCTCTCTCATCAGAAGCATCACTGAGTTTTCGGTGTGCAAGCTGGCTAGAAGCATTCAACATGGTGACATAGCCACAAAAATGCTGTAAGTCCACTTTGCTCCTTAGCACTTGCAATGCTTTATGAACACCCATGTTGACTCGAGTAAACTCTAAGAACAAAGAGTAAACATCATGTTGTAAGTAAATAGTTGTATAACATGATACAGCAAAAAACTTAAGTATACTTTAACAATCCTTAGAATTACTTTTATACGTTAATCTATTAAAAGACTATTCAATGAAGAAATATCTGTGAATGCAAAACATATTTATAGCCGCCAGGAGACATTTCTGGTATTGGAACAAATTATCCACTAAGTAAGCAAACAGGACCAGTCGGCAGCAACTTCTCTTGGCTTCTCTCTGTGGTTCTATTCTGCCCCAAATGCTTATTTGGTGGGGTTCAACCTGGAAGTGTATTAAATAAAATTTATGAAACCTGAAATTATTCTTATTGAACTAAAGCTAATAGTACACTTGAAATCAAAGTCTAGTTATTTAAATATTTGGTCAAGTTCATATCTTTCCGAAAACTAGGAAGATTCCTCGTTTTTATAATTCACACAATAATCGCCCAAAGCAAGAGTGTTCTTAATCCGTTCTTGAGATTTTATTTAAAATCCTCTATCTTTAGATGATCAAATTTCTCCCCCCCCCCCCATAGAATGCATAAAGTATAAGGAATAAGTAGCAAAGTTGAGTTGGAGAGAAAAGCTTATTTCTAAATACGGGGATATTTTCTGGAAGAGAAAACTCTTCTCCAAATTTTGTACACAATTATTTGCAACAGCCAAAGAGAGCACCTTCATTTCAAATGTAAAGCTTCTGCAGTCTGGTGACTTGAAGATATTTATTAAAATCTTCTTCTTAAATTACCTGAGCCATTTACTGCTCTTTAAAAAATCCAAACATCGATTACAGGGAAACTGATTACAAAATAGCAGTTCTGCATGGAGCAGGAAACACAAGCATTACATAAAATATGTGTAAGTTTTAATCAGATAGCATTTTTCTTTTGAGTATATGCAATTAATGCTCAAAAGAGAAAAGCTGCCTTCTATATTAAACAAAAGGATGGATCTGCTTTTATAGAAATTCGCTGAGCATCTGCCATCAAGTGTACTGTAGCTAGAGACAATATTAAACAGGGCTTTCTCCTTGACTCTTAACTGAATTAGCTTAAATATGGCAATCCACTCAAATCCTCTCTAATAGCAAAAATATGTTAACAGAAAAACAAATGCTGAAACATGGAATGCCTGCAAGTGTTCACTGAATTGTACAGTAGTATAAAAACAAATTCAATAGCATCCATTTCTCGATTATCTAAAAATGCCCCCAAGAAAGAATAGTATGTACCCCTAAAGGGAAAAAATTTACTTCACTATGATTTGTCTTCTCCCCCACCCTCCAAATAAAATAAACAATGAAAGGAAACAAAAAGGCTAAAATATAAAGAAAGCCCAATCTTCCATCTAGACAGAGATGGCTACTTAATTTCCATCATCTCCAAGACAGACAATATTCCATCAGAGGACCTAAAATAAGTCTACTCTGTTAATTCTTTGTTGGAAAAGGCACACTACAGAAAACTACCTTTTGCCAGTTTCTTTAAAAGCAGGATGGAAAGACCTTTGAAGTCAATAACTTTTAAGAATTCACTTCCTGCTAATGTTTTCCACCAAACTGTTTACAAAGATTAATGATAAAGACGTCACACGGACATGAGTCAAAATTGAGGTACCTCCTTGTAGTTCTATTTCATCAAATGGAAATGGTATGTGGACGGTTTCTCCTATCCCATGCAAACCATGTCCCTAAATAGGAAGAAACGCAAGCTGAAAGGTTAGGAGAAACTTACATTCCCAATAATACTCAAATAACACTGTGCCCTTTGGTGGTACAAAAACTATAGAAACAATAGTTTCTCATTTTCTCCAGCAAGTAAAGACAATCTTCACTGCATATTAATTTCTAAGCAATGTGTCTCAGCATAAAAAACTCCAGAAGGGTATAGCAGAAACTACTAAATGTGGTTATTTGATTTGGAGGGGAAGCAGGGAATCAGAATTGGGTTGACAGTGTGAGACAAGCAGGGATCCTTTCCTCTTAGACATCTTTGGTAGTCTTTAGTAGTGTTTTATTTGGAATTGTGTGAATGTATTAGAAGTCAAAAAAATTTTTTTTAACTTAATGAGTCTAACCACCCCATTCCCATGTTAACAAATAACTTTGTGTCATATTTAGTTAACTTTTAATTAATATTCACATTGCTAGTTTTAAATTTTTTTAATTTCTAAGTTTGTTTTGGTTTTAAATGGTTTAAGAACAACAAACATGAATTCAATTCCATGTTCATGAATATTTAATACCATTACAAGGGAAAATTTAAGTTTTTCTGGAAATCTATACATTCTTCTAAGAGGCTCAGACACTATTCAAATTCAAGATACCCTAACAGAAAAGAAAAAAACTTATTTCAGAGAAAAATTACATCCATTTAGTTGGGTGAGATAACAACTTGAACATATTGACAGTTCACTTCTTTTCCACTGATTTTTGATTTAAACCCTCAACAAGCTGGCTATTATAAAATTATGGTTTTAATCAAAATCTTAATTTTGTTACAAATTTTAGCAGATGATTTTTTTTCTGATAAAACTTAATAGTTTTTTTTTTTTTTTTAGCAAAAGTAAAACTCCTTAAAGAACACCTTAAAAATAGGCACTAAGATTGTTTTTCTATCCATGATTGTTTGCCATAATCAAAAACAATAAAAGAAAGTAAACCAACAGAAAGCCTAACCTGGCTTGATTCTTTGAACACCGCTTAGTGAATAGACTGTGACAAACCCCACTTTACAGAGAAGAATTCTGTTCAGCACCTTTTCTACTGGCTGCCATCAATCTGTAGGAGCCAAGTCAAAGTGGGTGACAGCAGGACAGTCAGGTACCCTCTGCACTCCAGGACCTGCCTACTTGTCGA